GACTCTGAAAAACAAACTGAGGGTTCTAGAGGGGAGGGGGGTAGGGGCATGGGTTAGCCTGGTGATGGGTATTGAGGAGGGCACGTTCTGCATGGAGCACAGGGTGTTATGAACAAACAATGAATCATGGAACACTGCATCAAAAACTAATGATGTAATATATGGTGATTAACATAACAATAAAAAATTTAAAAAAAAAGAAAAGAAAAAATAAATAAATAAAATTCAAATGCATTCAAAAGGAAGTAAACAGTTTACCTTTATTTCCTCCTCGCTGAACCAACACTTAATTCCTTTATATCCTTCCAGAAGAATTTTACATACATACATACATACATGAAAATAAGTATCCCATTTATATCCTTTTCCCCACAAATGCTAACATAAAACCAACACCAATCTGTACTTTTCCTAACAACATATCTTGGAAACTTTTATTCTAGTGGTTCTCAAACATTTTGGTCTCAGGACCTCTTTACATTCTTAAAAATAACTGAAGATTCCAAAAAGCTTTTATTATATGGGTTATATTTATCAATATTTACCATATTAGAAATCAAAACGGGGTTTTAAAAATATGTATTAATTTATTCTAAAATGACAATAATAAAGTCTGTATTTTAACATTTAATGATAAAATAATTATATATTTAATATTCTAAACTAGTTACATGTAAATAACTATTTTCCCAAAAGAGGTTAAGAAAAATGGCATTGTATCCACATTTATGCAAGTCTCCTTAGCTTCTGCCTTTAATAGAAGACTGCTAGATTCTCATTCTGCTGCTGTATGGAATCAGTTGTGGTATGTTGTTTTAGTTGAAGTAAATGAAGAAAATCTAGCTTCACACAGATATGTAGGCAGAAAAGGGAGGCATATTTTAATATCCTTTTCAGATAATTGTGGATATTTTTCTTTGAAACTTGATGAGTTTCTTAAAGGTTAGTTGCACCAGGAAATCTGAAACTACCAATGAACTCTCTGTACTCTGTTACATTAAAACCCATTGGTCTATCTTCTACTTTGAA